GCCTCAAAAATTAAAAAAAAATAGATGACACTTAAAAAGTTAGGCTTTACCTAGAGGGCTTTCCTACAGAAAACTAAATTCTTCCTCTTCTTTTTTTTTTTTCTTTGAAACAGCGTCCCCTGTTGCCCTGGGTAGAGTGCCATGGCATCACAGCTCACAGGAACCTCAAACTCCTCATTTGCTTCAGCCTCCCAAGTAACTGGGACTATAGGCACCCACCATGACACTGGGCTAGTTTTTCCATATTGAATAGAGCTCTTGCTCTGAATGGTCCAAACTCCTGAGCTCAGGCAATCCACCTACATTGGCCTCCCAGAATGCTAGGATTACAGGTGTGAGCCGTGATGCCTGGCCAGGAAACTACATTCTAAAGCGGGTAACAGAGAGGGTAGATGTGGTTGAAAGCACAGATGCTGGAGCCAGACTAGTTGGGTTTCAGTCACTCACTGTGTGACCCTGGGAAAGACACCTAATGTCCTTGTGCCTCAGTTTGCTCTTCAGAAGCATGAGGTTAAATTTCATCTGGCACACAGCCAGCAATCCAGGGTATCCCGAAAGGCCCTGTAAATAAGAAGAAATTAACAAACTCATGTTATTTTTTATGTTATATCTTATTTTTTTGTATTTATATAACACCCAGAAATATTTTGTAAAAATATTGTAAAAATTTATAATGAGTATTTTGTAAATAAAGTTACATTTAACTACAATTGATCATTTTCCCTATGTATGTATGGATGCCCACCTTTGGGACACCCTATATTTGTTAACTGTGCTGAAGGCTGGCGTGTATGGGACAGAGCCAGGAAGCAGCTTTTACATACTGGTTTCCAAAGGCTTCAAACTCAGTAGGTATAACCCAGAGCCTATACCCTTTTAATTGTGAAAAATGTAGTATTTATAGAAAAAAAAACACACGGACAGAAGCAGACCACTCCCAGATTCACTACAGAGCAAATGAACACAACTAAGAAGGAGGCCCCTGGCTTAGTGCCTGCAGCTCAACCAGCTAGGGCGCCAGCCACATGTACTGGAGCTGGCGGGTTCGAATCCAGCCGGGGCCTGCC